CGAAACGTTTGTTCCCATTGCCTAAATGCAGCTCCCCTCTCTCAGAGATCATCCATTGTGTGTGTTAGGCATATTTTACTTCTATGAAGTAGGTATGCAAAGGCATTTGTGCAAATACCTCCATAACTGATCATGAAAATAATGATGACAAAATAATGAACACTGGCGGATCTGGGGGGGGGGGGCTGGGGGTTCGGGCCACCTTGGGCGGGCCAAGAATAAAAATTGGGACCAAAAAAGGCTTTAAGGCCCTAAAAAGTGGGCCTTAAGGCCATAAGAGGGCCTTTTAAGGTCTTATTTTTTAATTCCAGGCCAAATTTTGAAGAAAATGGGCCTCAATATTTCAAAATTTGGGCCCACTTTAGGGGTTTAGGGGCCCAAAATTCGCTTATATAATCAGCATTATTTTTGCTCTCTATAAGTAAGACAAATATATATGAAGGTTAAGATTACAAAATTAAGGCAGCATTTTTGATAATGAACATAACATAATTGAGCCATGCCCTGTATAAAGACCAGGAATTTACACTAGTTAACTCAGTAGTATTTATTAACGGAGAAACCTTTTCCTCATTTTTTATTAAATTTCATCTTGAAATCCAACATTCTTCAGTTGAACTTCTTCATTCCATTTCTCAATATCACTGTGTGGTTAAGAACACCGTAGTCAAAAGTAACTCTTTTTCCTTAATACAGGGCGAGCCAAAAACGTATCCCAAACAAATCTTAATAACCCAGTCCAGTCATCCTGCATGGATTTAGTGTCATATTTGGCAGAATTGAGCCTTGGTCAATGTATTATCAATCTACCCAGTCTCAGTGGTCTATCTCTGGTGGTCACGATTTTTATGGCCATTTTATACCATGCCATGAAATATGAGTGTCATGCCTGGAGGCCAACTTGAACGTATCGTACGTAGTTGTTCAAATCAGGAGCATAAAAATCTCGTGTCATGGCTCTCATCTTCATTCTTATCTCTTGTTTCAAGTGTTGTTAGTATAGAAAAAAGGTCCACAGATAATAAAAAATGGTGGTATTGATGTCCAGTCAGTTAGGAACATTGCGATATTTTGAGCACATTTTGTAAATGGCCATAAAATCGTTACTATTAAGGATAGATCAATGACACTTAGTAGAATGAAAGAACATTGAACAAGGTAATTGTGCCAAATATGATGTCACACCCATGCTGAATGACTGGGTTATTAACAAACATTTGGTTGGGTTACCTTTTTGGCTCATATTAATAAACTGATGTCAGGGACAGGGATATTTAACATTTTGTTGCCTTTTCAAGGATATTTTTAGACCACCGATTGTACTTAATTTCTAACAAATCGTTCTCTCTTTTACCAGAAAAGGTATATTATATATCAAATTGAATTTAAAAGGAAAAAACATTTTATAATTTAGCAGTTATGAACTAAAAGTAGGGCTCCCCCTATATTTCACCTGGCATTTGCTGTTTTTTCTACTTTTTTTTACATAATCCTTTCCTGAAAACATCAAAAAACTGTTTTCAGGACAAAATGAGCCTTTACAAATAATTTAGTTGTGCTATTGAGTTCAAATATGACATATCTTGGAAGTAATTAAACAAAAGCAAGGTCACCCCAAAAAGGTATGTGGTAAAATATTGAAATTTCAAATATTATTTTCACCCTCAATATCCACTTAATGACCCTGATACTTATTAAATACAATGGTCAGGTGTATAATAACCTTCTTGATTTTTTTCATGCAATTCTGATGAATAGATACAGAAATAAATACATTGTTATATTAAATTCAGGCTATTTGATGGCCTATTTTCAGATATTTGGGGCTAGAAATGCCAATTATTGCACTCAAATAGTTGGTTAACAATTTTTAGTTGCTCTTATGTCAGTAAACTATCATAATATTACTCGTTCAGTTGAGAAGAGCATCCCATTTTGAAATAAAAAAATATTTACAATCCCATACTCAAATTTGGAGGGGGGTACCTAGAATGTGACATTTCACATTTGTCCACTGCATATATTTTTCTACATTTTTGATATGTTTTTCAACTGATATCAATATACAATATAAGCCTAATTTAAAAACTGTTGCAATTTTGGGGATGTTAAACTTCCATTTGCCTAGCCTACATAGCGTGTAATGATTCTATAGTATGTCATTGATGTGGTTTTATAGCTGGTTTTCTAATACATATTTTAAACGAGCTCGTTTCGTAAGATTTTTGGCGCTAAATCATGCATGACATACATCATCGTGTTCAGCAAGAATTCAACTGTGCATCGAAATCAAAATTGACAGCATAATGTTCAATAGACACGAGTAAAATGGTTCCCGTTGACCCAACGTCAAATATTCAAATCTCCCGTTCTAAACCCGAAACTCTGAAGCTGAAAGAGTATCTGAAGTAGACTAAGCGCGCATAAAACTATGAGCGCTCGATACATTCCTTTGTTAATTTTTGTACTTTGCGTTCACGGTTACGTTGTGAAAAACATCGTTAGCTTAACCCCTCCATTGGAGAGTATAAGCTTTGCATATATAATCGAAACTGAACCTGTACGTATCACTCGACCATATACAAATTCATGTAGCCTTCTCATATAAATACCCGTTCAAATCCAGTGTTTGTTTAGACTACACCATAGCGTGTAATGATTCTATAGTATGTCATCGATGTGGTTTTATAGCTGGTTTTCTAATACATATTTTAAACGAGCTCGTTTCGTAAGATTTTTGGCGCTAAATCATGCATGACATACATCATCGTGTTCAGCAAGAATTCAACTGTGCATCGAAATCAAAATTGACAGCATAATGTTCAATAGACACGAGTAAAATGGTTCCCGTTGACCCAACGTCAAATATTCAAATCTCCCGTTCTAAACCCGAAACTCTGAAGCTGAAAGAGTATCTGAAGTAGACTAAGCGCGCATAAAACTATGAGCGCTCGATACATTCCTTTGTTAATTTTTGTACTTTGCGTTCACGGTTACGTTGTGAAAAACATCGTTAGCTTAACCTCTCCATTATCAAAGTGGGAGCAATTCAACCATTTTCTAAAGCAACCCAATGTAATAAATCTTTCTTTCTCCTGTGTCAAACTGTTCTTATATAGCAGTAATTAAGAATAACAACTTCACATGATATCACTTCTGTCTAAATCATGCTTTCTCTGCTCCACACCTGAGTTATAGGCTGTAATATTTAGGTGATTAAAGGGGACCACCACCATGGTCACATGATCAGTCGTGTGGAGGTAAGCTCCCAGTTTAAATAAAAGCACTGTCCTCCTTTGGTTTATGTGAAAAGTAGCTAATACCCTCATGTATTGGTCAGTTTGGGTGTCACACGACTAATCCACACCATATGCTTCATTCAACATATTTTATGCTATTAAGCTGCATATAAAAACACTACTTTGCAGTAAAAACGTACTACTGGATGAACTAAGGTTAGGGTAATTAAATTAGTTGTTTCTCATTAGTTGTTTCTCATCCCCCTCCACCTTTTTTCTGCCATTTCTGAGAAAAAACACCGTACCTCGCGCGCATCCATGGCGTGTGAAACACTTTTTTTACTTTTTATGGATCAGGATAATTGACAATATCGTGGTACTGATATATGATCAAATATACCAGTAAAGTAGGCTAAATTCAACATATAAATTCAACATAAACCCAGTTTATTTCCTTCAAAATTAGTTATTTGTTTTTACAGTTATTTTAAAGAAAAAGTCCCTCATCAGCATTTTAGATAGACAAAAAAGGTAATATAAAAACCGTCATTCCCGTATCAATTTTGAAAAATAGAAGAAAGAGAAACAACTAATTTAATTACCCTGGCCTAACATAAAATACAAAGCCACTAGCCAGCTCATACAGTACACTTACCCCTTGCAAATTGTAATTTATTGAATTCACAGTAAACCCATCAATTTAAAAAAACAAAAATATTGTTCTCTTGGATCATTCTATTATTCATGTTAAACTAACTATGAAAATATAAATATGAAATAATATGTTAGATTGAAGTCATATATAAGATGAAAATATATGTCCATGCATTTGCATTTTTCCAAATGGAATATATTCCCATGTAAGTAAATACAGGTGCAATATATAATTTATATGTATATCTATGTCATCTGTCTATACATGCGCGTATAGTGATACATTTGAACAAGATGATGGTTCTGGAAACAAATGAGCATGGCAGATTTGCTAAAAACCCACATACACCACAAAAGCAAGACCAATTTGAAAGTAAGTTCATTATTCTCAAGGGTACACTTCAACATGTTCAAGTGAAAGCTACATTGCTACAGGGTGGCCTATCATTCTGAGACAAATGTATTATCCAACGATTGTGATTTTGGAAGCTAAAATATAATATCTTGAGCAGATGGAAATACATCCCCATGAGATATGTATATATAGTCAAAAGTAATAACTATTTATTGAGTGTAATGAAACGTATCCTTCGCCAACTGCTTTTGTTTGAGATAATTATCATGAAATATTTTTTAATTAATTTTTATGTGTGTCATTGATCCTAATCCATCCTGTAGTCTGGTGTTTGTAGAGCATTGCACCTCGTACAACTTATTCTCACAAATATCAAACCTCATTTACTAATTAACTTTTTGTGTGAATATGAAGAGTCCAAGCATTGCTTTTTTTATGTTTACTGTATAGCTATATTTAGCCTTGATATCCATGATTTTTTAAAACAAAATCTCACCCTTAGATTTCGAGCTATTCATGTTTACTCATTTTTCTAATTGGAAAACAATGCAAATCTCATTTTTTCAAAGGAAAAAAATTGAAATTCTAAGACGGTGAAAAATCATTAAAAAACACACAGATTCAGAATCCGGCAAGCATTTTCCCTTATTCCTCTCCGTTAAGAAGTTTTGTAAGGTGTTGGATCCCTTTAAATTCCTTGAAACTAAAGACATTATTCTGGGGCGTAATTTGATTTACATGTTAATCTTTACCTTGAATCCAAATGTTTATTTTTTGTACTTATAGGGAAATCTTCGAATAATTTTATTCGCCAAGATTTGCTTGAGACGATTCCGTCAAATAATGCTACCAAAAAGCAGCCTCGTGACACGTTTGCGCGTGGTGGCGTCATAACGCAACACAACGTTACTATCTCATTCTACTTGATATACCATATGATGTGTAAGCTTTCAGTGTATCCATTTTCCACAGGATGATATACTGTCGTGTGACTAGTTCTTATCCCGGACTGTACTATACTTCCATTCATAATAGTTGTTCAGAGTACAAAACTCCACCAGAGCCAATAAATTAACCCAGTGTTGCTAGAAGTGCTTATTGCCATTAATTATTGTTTTGGGTCACACACAATGCTTATTAACATACACATTCAGGGTCATGAATGTGCCTAAGCGCACATAAGCGATCTCCGGAGGACGATACTTCATGATTGAACACTGGGACTAATTTACACTTATAATCATATGCTAATGAAAACCAAATTATAAATTTATTGATGTAACATTATACTATGACATAAAACGTGAAACTGAGTGAACCATAAAAAGAACCCTAGATAGATACGGGGTGATAAATCGTAACGAGAGAAGGGCTCTCGTTTAAAATACATCAAACTGACGTGGCGTGTACTCTTTATATATCAACTAAACACCCAATGTTTTACAGAATTATATTAACTTTACTAAAGTAATAATTGTTAGCGAGGTTATGTGTGTCCGAGGCAGTTGAAATAAAAAAAGATGAAAAGGTAAAACAACGTATGGCATCAGTTCTGTGTTGGATTATATAATGGACAAAATATTCTTAGATTGGCGATTGGTAAAAACGATCTGTCATGACAGACACTTGTAAATAATTCGGCATACTAAAATGTGGTGCCATTCTGGATTCAATTACATGCAAAGTGTTGTATTTTGCACTACATATACAAATAGCTCTAGTACTATCCCTTTAAGTTTACCATAATCAACACCTTATATTAAGGGAAAATGGTACAGATGAATCTCTGAAATACCGAGGTAGAGTTAACAGATAAATGATAATTGTTTACATTTTTTGACATAATGCATCTGTTATAATTGATTAAGTTATAAATTACCGAATTAGCTGTTTCTAGACTCTCAACAGTCCGATTAGTCCACCTTATGTCACCGCAACAGTTGTCCGATTGATCCAATTCTTAATATGCAATGAAGTATCATTAATGTGATGTCAACCAGAAACCACAAGTGGTCCATCATTGGATTTCCCCTTGGAGTAAGACATTTTTTTATTCGTCAAGGTATTTCATAATTGAAAGCAAGGAGAGGCGTAGTAAAGATCGAAAAGCTGGAGAGGCATTTAAACAGGCGAGGCAAAATGAAATTAAACTTCCGTGGCTATTGGATCATACCGAGGATGAAGGAAATGGTCATATCTTTCAGAGTTTTTGTACTACCTGCCCTGAAACGAACTTCCATGTAGCACTGCCAGGGAGTATGGCCCTATAGCTACGCCTATGAAAAAATTTAAGAGCGCAGCAATTCTACCAAATAGGCAAATTTGAAATGGGCCAATAGAGGACAACCCCATTGCATAATAAACCATTGAATCTGTCGGTTAGGGACTTCCAATTGTATAACTTGTTACATTCAATTTTCTATTATTCGTGATATACATGTCAAAGTCATGGATCTAGTGTTTCGAATTGCGTTACTTTGATATATAGGCCTTCGCGATCTCGTTGATTTATTTGTTTTCCATGTTTATCTCTCGAGATAAAACACATATGTTCACTAAGACAGGGCGTAAAAGCTTTCTACCAAATTAGACTAAAATAATACTACATTATCTTTCCGGAGTCTATTTCCCACAAAGAAAGGTTCCAAATTACCAATAAAAATAAGCTGTCTTAAAAGTGTTGAGTGCTTAAATTCTTACTTGAGGGAATATCACATCTTGTGATCTATCATTTCCTGGGTTAGCTAAATCAGTCATTCCCCATGGGAGAACTATATGATTTAGTGTCATGTAATGTAAAAGGGTTAAGCTAAACGAAATCATATTATCGGGGGTTTACTTAGATTGATCTTATTATATGACACTGCGGCAATAAGTTTGAATCTAAGGTGATTTTTTAAATTAGTAGAAACATCTTAGCACAATCCTGAGTACAAGGGAATGTTACATCGTCACTTTCCACTGGGTCTAGGGAGTTATAACTTGTACAGGAAGAAATGGCAGATCCTACCTTCATTTAGAATCGCTGATTTCTCTGGACAAATTCCGAGAAGAAGTTGTTAGACATCGCGATCAGAGACTTCATGTACACGGTGTTATAGCATGACGGTTACGTCAAGGCGATTTGCAAAATTTTGCGGTAACGATAACAAAAAATGGCGGATGGGAAAGACAGTAGTCCTCTTTCTCGACTGTAGGCAAGATTCACAGATAAGATTTCCTTTTTAACTAGTTCCATTCGGTGACTTATATATGGATAGTTATAAAGACTGGGTCAAATCTGCCAGGTGGTTTACTAGAAGCGGAATATAAGCTCTAACCTTACCGACTGAGATGTCTAAGTTCATATTTTTTAGTCCATTCTCGTGATTTCTCAGTATATGTGCCTCAGAGCCACTCAAACTATTAACAGTAAGTAAACTTTGTATAAACAAGCCATAAAATGACAAATCCAGAACAGGAACGTGGTCATATTGCAAATAATAAGGTTTCAAATGCAATGTCGTTAGACGAGTACGTATGAATTCTATGGACGGTAACGTATTGTATTAGATGTACATTAGATATTTAGTGGACGGTTACGTGCATGTACATCTTTCAAGTTAAGGTTGCTAGTTCTGATAGCCTCTTTCCATGTAATTGTTATAATGGGTAAGAAATGGAATATTGAATTGCTTATATTTGTTTTCAGGACTCGCAAGAGACGCTCTTGTTTGAGCCTCTATAGGGCAAGAAAAAAACTGTGTCTTGCTTTATTCATGAAACCAATTTAAGTAAAAAAGATAGCAATGAAGAGGCAAAAGAAGAATTAGCATCAAGTACGGATGAATATGACAAAATTAATAACAATGAATCTGGGATAATATTTGAACGAGGTTCGCGTAACCGTAAATCAATTTTTTAAAAATACAATAATATGGCTTGAGTAGAACATATTAGGTGGTCTCCAATGCTCAATTGGCTTTTTATGATCGTATGTAGGTTACATCTATATACCCCGAGGTCGTTAGGCAATGTAGACCATGCCCTAACGACAAAAATAAACAAATTTTGTGTAGTTTTGAATTTCAAACTCAACAGTTTTTCGCTTATTTCATGTTATCCCCGGGCATCAATTTGCAAAGAATACGTTCAAAATATACATTACTCAATGGATCACCGAATGCGATGCCTACAAAATCGTTCATCCTTTCATTTATACACAGTAGAAGACAATAATGCACCAACCTTAGTTTTCTGTTCCATCGCGGCCATTTTATTGGATAAATCAGTGATCGTAGTCGTCTAATTTCGTTTTCAGAGGTGTCGTAACCGTCCTGCTATAACACCGTGATGTATATCCACATTGTATGTGTATGTCACTCTGAACCCGCGCGATAAAATACGGCATTTTGATTGGTTACTACTCGTGTTACCATGACGGGAAAGGCATTAGAGAACACTCGAATATGTTAATGAACTGCCATATATGGAACATTTGTCGCTCTGATTGGTTAACTATACACGACACCTGAATGAATAAAGTAGTCGTAGTAAATAAAGCATTGATTAATATAGAAAATGGGCGTGACCAGCTTTATTTTGACACAAAATTCAAGATGTTTCAAATTAAAATGCCATCGCAAGATGTTGTTGAAATATTGACAATTTGATGGTGATATGGTCCATGCAGGATCTAAATTGACTGCCCCGCGTCACATGTCACGTGACATTGTATTTGTTGAAAAATGAAAGTGATAGTGACAGTTTTTAATCTTAAGATAACACCAATATTACAAACACATATCGATTTTTTATTAAATATTTATTTCTTCATTATACATACATTTTTTATACTATATTGATTCATTTTGGCGATACCTTACTATTAGATCTTTAAACATAGCTATTATTCAAGGGTGAAAAATAAGAAAATACACAATGTCAGGGGTAAAAACACGTCCAGTATTTTCGTCTGGTACAAACCGAGATCCTGGACGCAGACGTCCATTTTTGATCCAGAGAGAGGTATGTGTGATTTTACTCGGTAGCCTGTGATCGTTTTACAGTGTTTCCTTATCTAGAAACAGGCTCATCAGATTCTCAGTACATTGAGGAACACACAATTCTTATAAAATGACAGTCATTCATCTAGATTTTTTGTAATGTGGGGTTAAGCACGGAAATACTTTACCAAGAAATACACGAATCGAGTCAGATTTCTTTTTATTTACTATTTTATTGACAAGATATGCAATTTTCTTGTGTATGGAATAAGATTACAGCTTCCAGTCGGCAAACTTTAGCTTTGAAATGATCGAAAGTAGAAAAATGACGAAATTTAAAGAAATACCGGACAAAATGAAAGTGTACTGGACGCAAGCCATCCGGCATTAACAGGCTTGCGTCCAGTACAATTTTTATTTCGTCCAGTGTTTCCAAAATTTCGTCATTTTTCTTTTATCGATCGTTTTTAAGCTAAAATTTGCAGATTGGAGGGTGTTTTGTTAGTTCATACACAAGAAAAATTGCATATCTTGTCAATGAAATGGCAAATAAAAAGAAAATATAACTCGATTCGTGTATTCCCTGTAAAAAATCAAAATATTTCTTTGCTTAACCTCACAATACAGAAAAACTAAATGGATAGCTGTCATTTTATAAGAATTGGATGCGCCCCAATGTACTGGAAATCTGATGAGCCTGTTTTTAGGTAAGGACACACTCCGAAACGATCACAGGCTACCGAGTAAAATTACACCTACCTCTCTCTGGATCAAAAATTATCCGCCATTTCATCTGATTCTGATCGAACGAAATGCGATGGTACTGGCTTTCAGACCCTTGTGATTGCTATTTGGATGTGTTTGTTTTTTTCTAATTTACTCAAAATCGTGCAAGCAAGGGGACGCAAAAAAAGAATCCACTTCTTATGGGCCTGTCTCAAATACAGTCTATTTTTCGATTATTCAGAAAAGAAGAGAAACTGCATATTGAATTTCAGACAGAATGCTTTGTTAATATTTCCAAAACTGACAGTATCACTTTTTAAACAATTTACTAAATTTTATTAGGGGTTAATAAGTTATATTTTTGTTGTGCTTATCATCAGGCATTACTTGGAACGTCTTTCTCTGTTTAAAATTTCATAATGTGTCTACTTTGGAATAACATATGCCCTGTTGAATATATGTTTCATCAAGGGTGAAATATTGAAATATCTTGATCAGGGCAGGACCGGTGTGAAAGAAATTATGGTCCCCCGGGGATTACGGTCCCCTTTCTTAACGGCCCTTACTGGCCCTGATTGTGTATAAGATAATGAGGGAAAGAGTTGTATTTAGGTCACCATATAAATCAATGGAGAGTAGGACCATAATTTGATAGGACCTCATTACGAATTAGCACCCTGTTGATACAAATCCAAGGGAGATCACGATCAAAGTCGACTTTGATGAGATTTGGATTGCTGCTTGAGCACCCTTCGTAAAATCTTCCCAGTTGCATTTCTTGGTATTTCATCTATAAACTCTACTCCTCCACGAAGTTGTTTGTAAGGTGCCACCTTGCCTGAAATTATACAAAGAGCGTGCAAATGATAGACTCAATTCCCGTGGACGTACGGATTTAATAATAGGGAGTTTAAAGACCTCTAGAACTTATAACATGCTCAAAATGTTCTCGTGGTCGTCACGTTCTACAATTAGAACGAGTGACAACGTACTAACGACGAGCTGGACGTACTACAAACGGAACCGTCGTACTCCTATACTACTAAGGACGTTTTTACAACGAGTTGGACTGTTTGAGGACTTATTGAGAACGACGTAGAACTAATTGAAAACGGGTTTAAACTGATTGAGAACGTATTAAAGACTGCTTATGAACGAGTTAGCAAAAATATAGCTATCACACCAAAAAAGTTGCCACTGCGTTCTTCAAAACTGGTTTTAAACTGGGTGCGAACGGAATGAACGTATCTGAAACTGTCTAATCACCTTCCCGTCTGACGAACTTCATGAACGTTCTCAGACGGGAAGGTGATTTTAGAATTTTGAAATGATCCAAAATTCGATGGCGACCATACCGTTCTGTAATAAGATCTTGTGACAACGTACTTCAAACGCGAAGACCTACTAGACCATGAACGTAATTGCCGTACTTCAACCCTACTCGGGACGCGTTATACAACGTTGTGCAATCGGATATCAATTGCAACACGTGTGCACACCGACATGGTGCGATCTGAACGAACTGCGAATGAGATGGACATATTGAAGACTGTTTATGAACGAAGTAGCTAATTATTTTAGACATATTTCCCGACCACAGCCAGATTTAGCTTGTTTTACGACTTTTTCGTAGGATTGGAAAGAACGGAACTTGAGAACTAGTTTGGTGTGATAGGGGGGGGGGGTAACCCCCCTATCACACCAAACTAGTTCTAACCCGTTCTTGCCAGTCCTACGAAAACGTCGTAAAACGGACTCAATCTGGCTGTGGTCGGGAAATATGTCTAAAATAATTAGCTAGTACTTCGTTCATAAACAGTCTTCAATACGTCCATCTCATTCGCAGTTCGTTCAGGTCGCACCAGGTCGGTGTACAACGTCGTATAACGCGTCCCTTAGTCTAGAAGGTCATCATGACCTGATTACAGAACGGTATGGTCGCCATCGAATTTTGAATCGATTCAAAATTCTAAATCACATTCCCCGTCCGGGAAAGTTCATGAAGTTCGTAAACAGACCGTAGAACGTTGTAGCTACGTCCATTCCGTTCGCACACAGTTTTGAAGAACGCAGTGACAACTTGTTTGGTGTGATAGCTATATTTTTGCCAACTCGTTCATAAGCAGTCTTAAATACGTTCTTAATCAGTTTAAACCCGTTTGCAAATAGTTCTACCTCGTTCTCAATACGTCCTCAGACAGTTCAACTCGTTGTTAAAACGTCCCTAGAAGGATTGAAGTACGACGGTTCCGTTAGTAGTACGTCCAGCTCGTCGTTAGTACGTTGTCACTAGTTCTAATTGTAGAACGTATCGACCACAAGAACATTTTGAGCATGTACTAAGTTCTAGAGGACCTACCCGTTCGAGTACGTTCAATGAAGTTTGTAAATAGATCCCAAACGGCTCTAAGTACGTCCAGTCCGTTCGTACACAGTTGAAGTCCGTTTTCGAGAACGTAGTGAAAACTAGTTTGGTGTGATAGTAGGGTTAGTAGAGCGTTTGGTTAGAGCATTAGACAAGATATTTATAATTTAGTTCGAAGTAGAACCCTTGTTCGACTCCCCTTGGCTCTGTATTTCGTTTCATATTTTTTCATTTAATTTTATTTTGGGAAGGTCGAACTTATTTTAAGCGTTGACATTCACGCAACAACACGCCTAACTATTGACAACGTACAATGACAAAATATATCGTCGTACACTTTAGATGTACGGTGTCACTATTCACTGATTTGAAGCAAAACCTATGATGTAGGTGTGGTGTACGTTTTAAAAAAATAATTTGAGGAATACATAAAGGATTTCATTTTTAATTTCGTGTGTATTCGCTTCGAAAGACTTTTAGCTTACTGATTACGTTGAAAGATTCTCGAGCAGTGCTTGATTTTTTTCGTAGTAAATGTACCCATAAAATTTGTTGCATTTATTTTTCACATTTCCTTTAAGTGGAGGCATTTGGGTCTATAAATCCCTAGAATTGATAATAGCAGGCCTCGAAAATGTTGCATATTTACATTAAGCTCCACGTTAATTAATCAATCTTCAAAAGACTCCCCGCAGAACAGTTTTAAATGGATAAAGCTCATAATCCTAGTATCTTACAATAACATGATGATCTCCAAAATAAGAAGGGTTGTTTATTTTATTTTGCCTTGTTCCAAAGATAATGGCGTTTAAATTTTCTAAAATCCCCATTGGCTGCCATGAAAAACCACTATCAATATAGCTTCACTGAAGTGTCCGGATCCTTTTCTCAAAAAGTCCACCATGTAATTTTCTCATGTTGTAGATTTCTAAAGTTAATATATTGAGTTTTAAACAATCAAACAATCACATTGCTAAAAATGTCTTATTTCAATGTAAATGTGCCAGGTTTCCGAGGCCTGCTATTATCAACTGTGGCTATTTTTAACACCACTTCGTTAGATATCAAAAATATGTATTCATGATACTTATGCAAAAATGGTGGTATATATAGCATGTGCAATTGAACAGCTAACTGACTCCACTATTTGATAATTGTTTTCCCGTGTCGCCTAAGAGTGTCGATTATTTTTATGATAATGTGTTTCTCACAACTAACCAATATAGGATGGATGAGGATGTAATGAATATATGTATTTGGTATAATTTAAAAAAGCTGAAATGTATGTTGTCAACTCCACTGTACGGTGTCAGTGTAATTGAAATTCATGAGATATAATATTAAACAATGCAATAATTTTATTCCAAATCCATTCAGGTTTTAAATGAGTAACAAGGGATGTTCAACGAACATTTTCAAGTATCCGTTAAGATAATATACTTTTATGAATTTTAATAATCTTAAGAAGTTGATAAAGATATCGCAATACTAGCTGCAGCTTATCGAAAATTACTTTTAAAATCCCGTTTTGCGTTTGTATATCTGGAAAGTGAAAGTGCAGAGGTGCAATAGTGCAGTCAAGTTGAAGTAAAAGTGTAATTGTTCAGTTTCAGTTTTTAATGCATCTGACCCCCTGCCGATTAGTGTTATAAAAATACGTTGCATGCAATTTGGTTAACGGTGAATTGAGATGTGTAAATGCAATGGGACAACGTACATTGAGTTGACAACGTACGTTTGTAATCTTTTTAAATTGTAGCCCGAAATGTTAATACCAGTACTTGTTAAAATTTCAACCGACCTATATTGTGTAGTTTAGAGAAACATATTCTCATAAAAATAATCGACACTCTTAGGCGTCAGGGGAAAAATTATCAAAGAAAATGTGAAAAACAACATTCACCAACTGATCAATTTTGTGGGTAGATTTGCTACGAAAAAATCGAGCATAAAAAGTCTTTCGAAGCGAATACACACGAAATTAAACAGGAAATTCTTTATGTATTCCTCAGATTAAATTCTTAAAACGTACATCAAACCTACATCATAGTTTTTGTTTCAAATCAGTTAATAGTGACACCGTACATCTAAAGTGTACGACGGTATATTTTGCCACTGTACGTTGTCGATGGTTAGGCGTGAACAATAAATCAACACACATTTGATTTGTTTGGTAAGTGTGGTCAGTAATTAAAAAGGAATTCCCAAATATTTTTCAGACATTTTATACATGTAGTTAACCAATTTAAATTGTATTGTCATTTTGCCCGTGAATAAAAATATGACATGTAATGTTTATGTGTTGGATGTTTTCTAGTTAATTATATGGAAACTTGAATTGAAAGGTTGACATATTAAGTTTACATGAACTTAAATTTCTGACAGGCATCCAGGAATATAAGTCCGCATCGGACTACTCATCCTAGGCATAGGATATACAGTCCTAAGGAAAATGTGACTTATTTTCCTAGGTGTGCGAGTCGGTGGACTTATTTCCCTAGGACTCCCTAAGACCCCCGGGGCATTGACTTATGAATACTTGCCATACAATACAATGAGAAACTAGGGAGAGGGAGATTATTTACACATATCTACACATTGGATTAATTTTTGCTTATTAACACAGGCTGGTATCGAAAGATTTGTCCGCTGTGACGGAGCATGCTATTTTTCATAAAAACACTAAGAATGCTTCACACTTTATTTCTTAACTCATATGTTTCGTTACATCAAAGAAAATTACTTACTCCATGCAATGGATATATCATTTGCGGGTAACCTTCACTTCTGTTTGAAGTCCAATAACGCTAGGAGTAAAAGCTATTGAAAACGGCGCCAGAGTATCAAACTCTAAAATGTACAATTTCTTTTTAAACTTTTTAATGGCATGATATAGTGACACAAGAATATTAAAATATGTTTTCAGCATAACTCTGAATGTATTAATGAGATATTAATGCATTGGGTCTTTTTAATTTTTTTATAAAAAATAATACTAATATTTTTTGTCCGCTCTGACAGAGCATTTTTACAGTTTACATTTGCAACTGCTCCGTCACAGCGGACAAAAAAATTAAACATTATTTTTTATAAAAAAATAAAAAGACCGAATACATCAACATCTCATTTATACCTTCATAGTAATGCTGAAACCATGTGTAAATATTATCTGTCACTATATCGTGCCATTAGAAAGTTAAACAAGAAATGGTACATTTTGAAGTATGATATATACTCCAGCGCCATTTTCAATAACTTTAAGTGAAAGTTACCAGCAAATGATATATCCATTGCATGGAGTAAGTAATTTTCTTTGGTATAACGAAACATATGAGTTAAAAAATGAATCGTGAAGTATTCTTAGTGTTTTTATGAGAAATAGCATGCTCCGTCACAGCGGACAAATATTTCGATACCAGCCTGTGATTAAGTGTGATGATTTGAGAAAGTCTAAGTCATATCCTTTCTTTTATATATTCAACTTACTGGACAAGAATGATGAGATATTAGACGCCTCTAATTTTGTTCCAGGTCTAAGGACGACGTATGCCTTTGGTAGTTCTCCGGCACTTTCATCCGGGATACCAATTACTGCTACGTCAGAGATGCCCGGATGAGTGATCAAAATGGCTTCCAATTCTGCAGGAGCAACCTACATTGTTCAGAGTAAAACATTAGATATTTCCTGGGGAGGACTTATCCTTTCTTATAACATACATGCAAATGCATATTGTTCCTGTTAAATCAACTAAAAATAGTTTTTTGGTGAAGCGAAAAACGATGGCACTTGCTAATTTTTTTAATGACGGGATATGGATGAATTATTTGTCCATCCTAGAGAAAATCAGTTGGCATATGTTCATACCTGAAGGGCATTGTATTTGATCAGTTCCTTGATTCTATCAACGATAAAGAACCAACCATCCTTATCAAAATAACCGATATCACCTAAAAATATACAAACTTGAAGCATAACGGAGCTACTGTATTTAATGTTCATTTACCATTGTATACAGTGTGTCCCAAAAAAAAGGAAACCAGCAATAGATTACTTATTACTCAAATATGTATAATAATAGGAAAATTTCACAGCTACCATCTGATAGGTAATGAGGTCCTCTTTCTTATGATACCAAAGTTGTCTATTTTCCTTCACGGATGACTGAGTTAAAAGGGATTTAAGTCACCATGTCAGAAATGAGTTTGTACCACTTTCAGCCAAGTCAATTTCACCATCATAACAAGGTGATAAGTAACAACAAACATCAGGATATCACTCTTTTACTCATTTATTCTAATTGAAATTACACATATCATATTTAACACCCCTTTTAAATCCCAATGTCCATTCAAAGTTTTTTTAACCCCAGTGTCCTTCAACATGACCCCCATTCCTTTCAATGCAAATGTCTGCCCTTGATCTCATCGCACGTACTGCATCCCTGATGATGACACTGGGGTTAAAACAACTTTGAATGGACATTGGGATTTAAAAGGGGTGTTAAATATGATATGTGTAATTTTAATTGGAATAAACGAGTATAAGAGTGATATCCTGATGTTTGTTGTTACTTATCACCTTGTTATGATGGTGAAATTGACTTGGCTGAAAGTGGTACAAACTCATTTCAGACATGGTCACTTAAATCCCTTATAACTCAGTCATCCGTGAAGGAAAATAGACAACTTTGGTATCATAAGAAAGAGGACATCATAATCTATCAGATGGTAGCTGTGACATTTTCCTATCATTATTCATATTTGAGAAATAAGCAATCTATTGCTGGTTTCCTTTTTTTTGGGACACCCTGTATATCTGACTTTATTCGGCGTGATCAATATGCATGTATTAAATCAATTCCGTTAAATCAATCTAGAGTACGTTTAACTTTGATTTACATTGTCTTATTGTTGAATAAAATATATTGATTGAACTGAAAAATCATGAATGATAAAACGCTTTTGAATAATGTATTATTAAAAGACACATGACCAACATTAGTCATTGACATAATAGGGAGTTTAAGCTTGCAATGTTTTCCACAACCTAAATGTGAACGGCAAATATTTAAGTGATGCATTTTTATGGGCGATTGGTCATACGTACAGGTTGGCGTTTCGATTTTATATGCAAGCTTAAACTCCCTAATGATTCAAAGATATACGGCATAAAACCGCCTTACCTGTGTGAAGCCATCCTTCTTTATCTATAGTTTCAGCTGTTTGTTTAGATTTGTTCCAATATCCAGACATTACTATAGGGCCCCGAATCCACAATTCACCCTCCTGGTTCTCACCAAGAATTCGGCCGTCGTCCAGATCTCTAACCTTGCAGGCAAAATTCACAATATATGGGCAAAGTCTTACAATCTGATTCAACAATTGAGTTAAATAGATAAGATTCAGATTAACTAGAGTTAAACTTGAATCTAGATGACTAATATAGAGCAATAACAATATAGCTGATTCATTACCGTGACTTCGTTGCCCGCCAATACCTTCCCCGCTGCTCCGGGTGGCCTATCAATTCCGGGTGGAGGTGCAAGGGCTCCAGTCGTCGTTTCCGTCATGCCATAGCCTTTAAACACATCAATAATTATTGTGATTATCTTTGATAATATGGGCATATATTGGTGTTGTTAATATCATCAGCAGACCGAGACATATTTTTACTCTGTTACCTTGAGTTAGACGCTCAACACCCAAGCGTTCCTTAACCGCCATTTCTATATCTTTACTCAAGGGGGCAGCACCTGACCCGATTTGGCGGACACTTGACAAGTCATATCTGCTCACCAGAGGGCTCTTTGCGAGGAAAACCATCAGTGGTGGGACGAGAGGAAGATATGTGATCTTGAAGAACAATAGCCTACAGTATGAGAGTGAACGTATCGAACCATATATACGATATATACTACAGGCTGTCAAATATGTCCCACCTGCTCCACTGATAGAACCAAGACCAAGAAATACTGTAAGTGGTAATTTTGCCTAATCATTTAATTTGCCTATTTCCTAATTTTTGCCAGGTTCGGAAAATTAAATGTCGGAAATATTGTCATTATTGTTATTATAATGTTATCCAATGGGAGGTTTCTTGTCATTAGAAAAATTAAAATTAGGAAAATGATGAAATTTGACCTTTCGGAAAATTAACCACTCGGATTAAATACCACTTATACAGTAATGTATACATGCACATTCATATACAATATTCTAAGATTATCCCTTGTACTTTTGGACCACAACTTGACCCATAGTAATGTTTTCTTTGAATATCAACTACGTTCATTGATCTCAATGCTCACCTTATATTTTTCTATTGCTTCCAGAAATGAAACTGGTTTGAATTTTGGTAGCACCACTAATTTAATACCAATTGCCAGTGTGAGGCACATTAGTACAATCATGGCGTAGCTGTGATAGAATGGAAGAATACCTAGTGTTGCCTCGTCCAACGGATTCACAAATGGAAGCTCTTCACCCCTAGCTTCTAACTCTGCAGCAACGTTGTCATTATTTCTAAAAGCGACAATGGAAAAGTCTTGAAAACCATAATCACAAGGTGTCTTGTAATAGTTAGTTGGAATAAGTCTGACACAAACTTTCTTGTTTTGGGAAATGCATTTTTCCTTATTGTTGTTCAAAAACAATAGAAAAACGGTTTATCAATATCGTGTTTCCGAAAATGGACACTGGAAAACAAAATGGAGTCTGGTTCCAGGCTCTTAGTAGCATTGCTTGTATAATTTTCATCTATGCCTTTTTATTACAAGTCTTAAATGAGCTCTAAATATGCATGGCCGCAAATAATAGGGTTTTGACTCACAATTTATAGCAGAACATAAGAGAAGTAACGTTATAGTGGGTCAGCATGCATCCCTTGGGCAATCCAGTGGTCCCACTTGAGTAGAGTATTGCAACGACATCTTTCTCGGGATCTATGGGCACATGGGGAGGTAAAGCCAAGCCATCGTCCTGCATCAATTCACCCACAGTCGTATGTTCATCTGATTCCCCTATAACAAACACTTTCTGAAAACAACAAACAATTTCAATTTACACAAATTATTATTAAGTGCTCTTTGTCATTTATTTCGACTCGAATTCGTCTCATGTCATTGCATTTAGTAAAGTGCACTTATGAGTGTAATGTATATGTTTATGCGACCATTCATCATGGATATGCTGCTTACTACAATTGCATACACACTAACCTTTATAGGTATATGATACATTGTACTTTAACATAACATCAGAATATCAGGTATGATTATTTTGGTGTACAACCAGATGGGAAAATATTAACAGTGAATTAGCTAGTGCATTAGCAAATCATCAAAAATTAGCAATGGGGTAATATTTCAACAAGAAAGCAAAAATACTTTTAGAAACAATAAATCTATTATTTACCCAAAACTTTTAGTGTTTTTCCTTATATCATAATGTTTGTAAACATACTGCTGGGCTTGGAAGATTAATACCAAGGAGGATTGGCTCCCTGTGTGCAACATTGATATTCTGTCTCATGGTCATGTCGTTCGTCAAAATTCAAATTCAAACAGCCGCCATTTTGTTCACTTCAAAAAATTTAAATCTTTAATTTTGGTCTTATTTGCTAACGAAAAATTCCAAAACTCACAAGAATTGATCGAGATATTGGTTCGAATCTTTTGAATCTTTAATTTGAATTTATAGCCGGTTTTAATTTCAGAAAATAACTACATTTCGACGTTTTCATTGTTGGAAAATATCGAGGGTCGCTTCTGGGAGCCAATTCTCCTTGGAAGAATTTGCAATTAATTTGAAGAAGACACTTTGATTCGGAATATTAGAAATGGTAATATAATGTATATAAAGTCCAATGGGGCACGGTTGGACATTCATAGACTTAATTAGCATTACATAGGACCTCGTGGAAGTCATGTTACTCGTAGGACTCCAATGGGAGTCTATGGGAATCCGTGGGACTTTGCCCGAAGAAGTTCATTCATCATGGGACTTGTTAGGTGACTTCGAATCAAAATGGCCGCGGCAGAAACTTCTTAACTAAATTACATAATTTCCGCAGGACTCGATCGGGCATAGTGGGATTCGATGGGGCTATGTTAACGAGGTCCTATTGAACATCATTAGAATCGTACGGTGGGACCCAATGGAATTTGTTGGTGAAAGTGGAATTTTGCATTTGAATTCGCTCATAAATGTACTGTCACACACATGATATTGACGGCGCGTTAGTCCTCCTTTGAGTCACACATCAAAGTCTTCTCAATCATAACTAGCGATGAAACACATCATTTCATTTTTCGATCTTTTGTTAAGGGACAAAATTGAAATGTTAACAATGACAGGCATTGAATTGGTATGGTATCCAATGGAATGGAATGAAAACTTCCAGTTTGAGGGGGAGTTAATAAATATATTTTATCTATTACCTTGATTATGATCTTAGATTTTTCGACCTTTTTGAGTCTCTGTAGAAAGTAGGATTGCACTAAAATGTATTTAGCTCCAGAATCTTCTAGTTGATACGTCAGCTCATCTGGAACAAATGAAATATATATTTGTTGAGAGTTGTCTTGCATTATGATACAACAAAGCAAGAACAAATTTTGTTCTCGATGACAAGGATTATAAAATGTCATGGCTTTGAAATTATTATCCTTGTCGTTTTCCTTGTTAATCCTTGCTTTCTATAAATGACGAAATAGTAATTCGAGGGAAGAATATATCACATTCAATGCACAAGGAAAAAGTGCAAACTGTTGTCGACAACAGGAACATCGAAGGTACAACATACTATCAATTGGTATTTATGTCACCACCACAAGTGGTGACATTTTGTTATAGTCTTTAACTTTTGGTGGACGGTGTTCGGAGTCCGGCGGTTGGTGTTTAGAGTTCTGCGTCTGTAGCAAATGGCAGGTTGTGACATATTGCATGTTAATGCCTTGCATAATAGTTATGCTGAACTGGCCAACTGACCAATGTCTTGTCAAGATAAATTGCAATTGATTACTCAAATCATACCATACATACCGGTAGTAAACGCTGGACTTATTGTGGTTGTGATTGCTCCTAGAGAGGATATGGCATGGAAGAGTGCCACGTATTCTATACAATTTCCACTGTAGATTGCTACAACGTCACCGCGTCTTACGCCCTGACGCGCCAGACCACTTGCAATCCGCCTGACATAACCTTTCAATTCTGTGTAGCTCCATGTTAACCCAGTTCGTCCATCGATCTGGAACAGAAAAATGAAACTGAACAGTTAGCTAGAATTTTTTTTGTCTTATTCTGGGATACGGCCAATGGACTCTATACAGTGTTTCCTATGTTTCCTCAGTCGACGCATTGAGTTATAGAATGAAAAATTACTTTTTAGGTTCATTTAATGTATGTGTATTTTCTATAGTTTTTATCGCACCCTTTGGTGCTATATTGTGACCAGTTTGTGGTGCGGGCGGTCTCGTTTTATTGATTCATTTAAAATTTGCAGGGATGATTTTACATATGTACATGTACAGTACATGTAAGTAAACTAAGTTTACATCTGAATTGTTTTTGAGCATTCTGGGTAAATATCAAAGTGGCGATTTTGGACTTTCCGTCCTATAAACTGCATATAAATTCAAGGGTGCGAGCCTGTTCACTCTGTGTTTTGTTTTGTTTTGTTAGTCTTTATTCAGTGTCGTCTTATGATATTGATTGGATGTTGTGTTGTATTATGATATCTTGTGCAATGATATGGTTATCGTATGACCTGTTGTAGTATGATATCTTGTGCAATGATATGATATCGTATGGTGTCTTCTGGCGTTTTAGTGTGTTGTGCTATCGTTTATACAGTATTATAACATGTTACGTTGTAGTTTGATGCATGTGATATGCAAATGACCTGCCATGTTGTGTTCTCTTATAATATGGTAGTTCCATAGTTTTATTCATGCTATTATATGGAATGTAATGATTGCTAGCGTACGTGTTCTACGCTCACATTAGGGAGATTAAGCTATACGTTTTAATGAAAACTCGTACGTGAACGTGTGATATGTGTGTCCCATGGATGCCCGTCCCCTTTCATTGTTTTTTGGTGACCTAGTTACAACTAGCTACGAGTTACAGTACTAAGGAGAGAACTAACCTCTTTAAAACCTATAGCTTAATTTCCATATCAAGGGTTAATGATAAACGTGAGCTATACGTTCTTTTGTAGTTGCATACATTACCTAGTACATTAACAGCGATTCATCGTATCATCGTACATGTACATACAATGGAGATCAACTCATATATCTTTAGATATTAATTAAATGGAACTTAATCATAAATGATTAACAATGTAACCCTTTGAGTTTATCTTACCACCCGGGTCTTACCAATGCTGGGAAAGAATCTAACAAATCGGCAGCTTGGAGTACAAAATCAGCCAAAGGTACTTTTGGAAATTCCACTGGAGTTTCCTTTGAAGCCATTTATATTAATCCGTTTTAATCCAATATATGTGCTGATATTAGTTCAAAATTGAATTTACAAAGTCAAAACGTTGTCTGATTGTATCTATGATATTAAGGTTTGAAATTATACAAATACCTCTGCATGCAGTTTGATCTCGCTTTTAGGGTTTTATATTTACATTCAATTATTTGTTTAGCAGAAGTTATTGATAATTTTTGAAATGCACAAACATGATCAAATTAATGATAGAATACGTGGTAACGTTACACAGAGAAAGTAAAAACATCATACTGTCACTATATATATTCTAGAACAGCGTCAGTTTAAAAGGTGGGCCCGAATCTACCTCGTGATATCCGTTGAGCAGATGGTTAAAATGTTCAGGCCTCAGACACTATATTCTGACCTGTATAGTGGCACTGTGTTATAGAAAGAAAGTACAAAGGTTCAAAGGGATATAAATGTACGATGACATGAGCACTAAACTGGCCAAATAAAATGAATACCCATGGGTAAAGCAAGACTCAGTGACATGCACTCAAAGATCTAATCAACAACCACTTTTGTGTTTTTCACCATCCAAATAATTAAAATACATATTTTCGCGATTTTGTCAAATGTGAAGTTATTTATGGCCTCAAATTCACATGAAAACCCCTACAACTAGTTTTGAAATCAAGAATTGGGAATACTCAAGTTTCTAACTACTCTGATTGTTCGTATTTACAATTGCAATTTATTGCAAGTACCCAAAGATGTTCCCAAAGGACGAGATAACAGATAAAAGTCCAAAAGAACTTTTGAACATTTTAACATGAAGTGTAAAAATAGTGAAGTATAAAATAAATTTACTCTTGGTTTATATGTCAAAATATAGGTCACATTTTTCAAATCATTTTAACACTTCAATCTTTAGTCAAATGCCAATTTGTTTAATTCTTTGTTTATTTCTCATATGTAGAGGTTGAGTGAAAATCAAATCCTTATTAAAAAGGTCCTGTTTTCACACTGTGGTTTCATTTGATGATTTGGTATATCACTTTCTATCGAATTCTATTTTATCCTACATAGAATACAAAACATTTTTAGGGGGTCGCACCTATTTTTCGCGAACATCTGTAACAATTTAATAGCTAGAATAGAATGTTCCCTCAGGCTCTCCTACTCACGAATCTCGCGGGATGTCTTTGGCACATAACGAAGCTTAATCGGGAGCTTAACGAAGTTTCCCAGGATCTAAATAGAATATATACCATACACTGGTAATTAATGAGGACTACTTTGACATGGGCAACCTTCCATTCAGAGGAAGGACAATATCATCAGTAAATTAACCATATCATCATTATGCAGGGCACAGAGCGATTGAATTCCCAACAAAGTTGTCCTGTCTTAAACTTACAATATTATTGAAGCATTTGATACCTTAAGAGATTATGGGGTTGACCTGTAAAATACATGGTATTTGAGAACACCAAAAGAAATAACAGATTCGGAAATATAATATAGTTGAGAAATATATCAACTTGCTAACTGATCATATCCGCAAGGGATGATTCAAGATTCAAGATTCAAGATTCAAGATTTTATTGTGTTTCAAACCAAACACTTGGTTTCCTCACAAAATCAATTACAAGACATTTACATATAATTATACAGTTAAAAAAACAACATGCATTGTTTCACAAATACCATCATACAATCTTTCCTTTTTCAAATAGCTCCCGACGCTGATTAAAAAGTTTATTTATAAAATGTATCAATTCGTTAACAATTTCAAAATCATCAGAAGTCATCAAAAAGTTATATTTTTCTTTATCCGACATATTATCAAATGTGTCAATAAAACTTAGTTTATTAAAAAATTCAAATCTACATTTTTTATAGCCATCACAAACAAGAAGAAAATGCTTTTCATCCTCTACTTCCCCCTTATTGCAAATCTGACAAATTCTTTCATTTATTTCAAGTCGATCCTGTTTAGTGCCATCTTTTTTCTTTTTCTCGTGTCTCCCTGTTTCAATTCTTAAATTATGGTTTGCTAATCTAAACCTGGCCATTTTAAAAATTAACATTTTGTTCACGCTTAATGTTAAATATCTTTCCAGATTGTAATCAATTTTCATATAATTTCCAAGTTTTCTATTTTCCCTTATAGCTCTATCATTAAGTTCTATATATTTTCTTTGCATTTCAAGTTTAATTGCTTTTAGTAATCGTTTTATTCCAAACGTACTCCCATTTTCAAAGACATGTTGAAAATGAAAGTACTTTAATATGCATTCCATATGTTTGACATATATGTTATTTTTATCCCGAAATGATATATTTATTAAGCTATCCGCGTTTGTTTGATGCACACATTTCAACCAATATTTTATGGAATATATAAGTGAGTCTATAGCTAATGGAAATCTTCCTAAATCTTTTTTAACGGCATAACTTGAAGTATATTTGTTAACCCCTAAAAGGAATTTGCAAAATTTATTGTGTATTTTTTCAGGAATAAAGTCTTCATAAGAACTCTCTAGTTTAAGGTCCCCTTGACTAATCCTTCTGTCAACTTTCAAGTGAAGCATTGACCAAAATTCACTTCCGTATAATAATATAGGCTTAACACACATGTCAAAGATTTTTGTGTGCAATTCTACATTGATAGTTGAAAACTTAAAATTTTGTCTCATCATAAAAATAACTTTCATCGCCTTCTTACTTAATTCTGATATGCCATGTTTCAAACTCCCAGAGCTTTTTAAAACAAATCCCAAATATTTGTATTCATTTACTTTTTCTATATTTATACTTCCAAATTTAAAATGACTGTGTTTTATTATTTTTCCTGATTTATTAAAAATCACAACTTTCGTTTTTTCAATATTAATGTTTAATTTCCATTTTGAACAATATGTTTTTAGTTTATCAAGACAGTATTGTAGTCCCTCATTTGTTTCTGATATCAAGACCAGATCATCCGCATATAAGAGTACATTTATTAACGTTTCATCATTACTACCGATTTTGATCACAAAATAAACACATTGAGTAGTTGAGTTGAGTAGTGGTCGCTTTGATGTAAAGATGGTGCCACTGTTGGAAATGATGATTTTGATAGAGTCTTCCCTTTGCAACAGGTAGCTCCCATCGCGATAACAGGGTTCCTACTGTTGTCGAAACTTTACGGAGACCTTGCAAGCAAAGTTAAATATGAAAATTTTATTGTTATATTCCGATTTTGTGGAGACAACTAAATCTTAGATTTTGGATTTTATTGACATTCCGTCAAAGCCCTAAAATAAATTTCGCTGGAGCATTATTTTTTCAACACCGATACAAAATTCCCTGATATTTCCAATACGTAGTGTACTGTTTAATAAATCCCTGATATTTGTGCTCTTTTTTCAAAATTCCTTGACATTTCCCTGACATTTTCAGGCAAACGAAATAAATTATTTGCTTGGACGCCCTCCAACAAAGTCTCAACAACAGTATACAGTATGTCCTCCCCTCTCTTTAATTGCTAAGATATGTATTTTAAATGAATCCAAAAGACAAAGTTTGAAACTTAAATATTTGGATCTAAAATCAGACTAGAAAACTAATGGAGTGGGATATCACTTAGAAAGAGTTTTATCAAATCACTCATTATTTTTAACATTATGTGGTAGAAATAACAATGCAACCATTATCTCGTAATTCGTAATTCCTTCCCGAGAAAGTTTCTTCTTGATCAGAGGCCCTACTTACCAAGCATTGGCATATACAATTTGAACCAAATCTGTCAACTGTTATTTGAGTTCCCTGACAGATGGACAGATGAACAGAATGACGCCTGAGCGGACGGCCGAACAGACGTTTTCATGAAATAATAATCATAGTACTATACTGAAGTACTAAGTTCCTGGAATAAGAACGACATTTATTTTAGTTTAATTAAGTATTAGCCATCCCTATTCAGCTATCCAGTGGGTCATTTTATCACTCTCTTATGGTATTTTCACGGTTGAATAATATAAAACCCATGAAAATCAAATTAAGCTTTATTGTTTGTTTTCCACCCTTCTCAGAGACTCTTTATCAAAACATCGAATATATACTCCTCAAAGTTAAGGACCAGTCTTTTTCCTCATAGGTTTACATGTTAAACCCCATGTCTGTTTGAACTCTTATTTTAAAAGCCTGTAACGAAAGAAAAACTGATAATGTAAATGGATATGTACCTTGACTCTATTCTCTATATTTCAGAAATTTTTTAATTCAATATCTCCGTTACAATAAGTCAAAAATTGATGTCAAATCTGAGGAAAATTAAAAAAATGGCATAACCCATGTAATCCAATGGGAATGGTTGGGTTGCCAAAAGTCATTTGGGAAAATATCCATCAATTCGATTGCTCTCAAAAATGGAATGTCAATAGACAATTGAATTTGCTAACTTGTTTTCAACAAAAAATTGATTTGTTTCTCCAGGTTTTACAAAGTTATGAGTCTCAAAAGTCAAAATCATTTCTCATAAAACCTCTCATTGAAATAACACAGTGGGTCAAAATGTGTTGTCAAAAATACGTTGATGCTGTACTAGGGGTGATCATATAAGTAATGGACGCTTTTTTACACAGATACTTTTTATTGACCAATCACAATGATTTTCCTACCAGTGATACGTCATTCAATTATCTATCAATTCTGAAGATTTGAAGATTTAATATCCTTATTTTTGTGAAGGAGGTACAGGTACCCCGGGACCGACATTTACGTCACATATTCATTTTTTAGCCAGTTTGGCAAATTCAGTTAGATTTTAACTTTTTATATGCAACACGTGTTGTGCTGTTTGAATTTTTTTGCTGACTGGTAACACATAAACAGAAAGTATGTCAGAGTGTTGTATGGAAGAGGTTTGCAAGTCAATTTGAGAAAGCCGCATTGTGGAAGATAGGGGTGGTGAGAGAAGGGAACAACCTACTCCATATGGGCAATGCACCTGCCCACATATCTTAAAATGTTCAGAAAACAATATATCCCTGGACCTCACAATTAAGCCCTTGGCCAATGCACCATATTGTCCAGATCTGCTCACATGTGACTTATTTATTTCTATACTACTTAT